GTTGTTTGTCACCAGGCAACCAGCGGGGAACAAGGCTGCAAAGCCTTAAGGCTCCTGTCTTAATCCACGCTGCCAAATGGGGGTGGGAGTGGGGGGGGGGGTGCATTCGGCTGGCCCGCGTTTGTGGGCGTGTCGATCTCCGACACAACGGGACGGGACAATGGCCCTTTCACACGCTCAAGATCCCATACGCTCAGCAGCTGCCACAGGGAGGCCAGTGCCTCCTAACAGGCACGGGATGGGGGGGGGCTCTTAGGGGGGGGCTCTTAGGAACCCTCCCTGACAGAGCCGTCGTCACCTTACAATGAGACCTCCACTGGAGGGCTGCCGGAGAATTCCATCACAGAGGCCACTTGGGCTCCTAGTGGCTTCCCACTTCCTCAGGACGATTGGTTGCCCAGACTCCTGCATGTACGAGTCCCTGCCAGTCCATGGACCCTCTTTCTGGCTTTAACAGGGGGGGTGGGGAGCTTTATGCCTAAAAATAAGCCCAAAGGACAGGATAGTAAATGATGCAGACAGATCTATCCACACAACCCAGGATGGGGCGCCAGCCCAGCTCAGGGAACACTCACACCTCATTCACTCACACACCGTTCACTCACACCTCATTCACTCACACATCGTTCACTCACACCTCATTCACTCACACGCCGTTCACTCACACCTCATTCACTCACACGCCGTTCACTCACACCTCATTCACTCGCACGCCGCTCACTCACACCTCATTCACTCACACACCGTTCACTCACACCTCATTCACTCACACCTCATTCACTCACACCTCATTCACTCACACCTCGTTCACTCACATGCCGTTCTCTCACACCTCATTCACTCACACACCGTTCACTCACACACCGTTCACTCACACACGTTCACTCACACACCGTTCACTCACACATCATTCACTCATACACCGTTCACTCACACATCATTCACTCACACTCCGTTCACTCACACCTCATTCACTCACACATCGTTCACTCACACACCGTTCACTCACACACCATTCACTCACACACCGTTCACTCACACCACATTCACTCACACACCGTTCACTCACACACCGTTCACTCACACAGGAAAACATACACATTTGGGAACTCCAGTCTCATAACTTTAAAATTCAATATCATTTATATACATTTATATATGCCTTACTAGGAAAGTGTAAGAACCACTATGGGCCCATACTTCCAGGACTGCAGGTTCGGTTCCTGCTAGTGGCTCAATGTGTGTAGATTTCTCTGGGTACACAGTTGCCCTCCATGGTCCACATATGCCCTGCAATGCCCATATATCCTCTCCAGGGTGCAAGACACACAAGCTGAGATATGCGCTTGGACGCACTAGATAACCATGTATGCGAGTCGAATTTCTATGGTTTACATGCAGCGTTCTTGATGGATAACGCTAACGATTAATTTATATTAGCGGAATCAGCAGTTGTACATTTTATTTTCACGAGATGGAGTTTGAAGAGAAATGCTAGTTCTTATAGCTAATTCATACGTCACTTTTTCACGTACACTTTCAGTCGCACGCTGGGTGAGATGACGTAAATTTTGCCATCAGGAGTTTGCGCCGAACAGCTGCAGATGGTGGACATCAAGCGTGTCTGCGCACGTCGACTGCGCGTGTGCAAGATAAGTGAGTAGCTGTCTGCTGTAGGTGGCTGCAGTGACGTTCACTGAGCAGAGGTCAACCAAGAAAGAGTAGAAGGGGAACTGCTGTAGGTGTGGAGGTGTCTGCATATCTCATTTTTACTGCCCAGATAATATATACTGTGCAGACATTATACTGCAGTATATCACTATAGCAACACTATTCTGACATTTTGAAATCGGGGGACAGTCCCGGATACGTGGGCTGCAGGCACCAGGGGGTAGCCCCCAGCTCACCCAGAGCCAGCATATACCACCCAAGCCTAGACTAATAACTTTAAAACTGTTCATAAATGTTCATTGCTTGTATTTTTGTTTGTTGCAATGCATCTGCCCTCTTCAGGTCTGTCAGAGGTGTCGTTGCTATCGGTCGCCGAGGCGGGACCGTGGACAGAGGCAGGGCCACAAGCCCCATCTGATATCTGATTAGCCACCAGATTTCTCCCTCCTCTGTCACTCACCGATTAGCTCATCTCGTCTGCTTATCCCAATGCACACAGGGTTCTCATGTATATATGGGTGCTTACACAGCGTGATGGGATTCCTCTGTTGGCCGGCCGGTATATTCACGCTGAGTGGATCACTCTGCTCTGTGTATATTGGCATTACATTGATATTACATATATAAATAGCTTAAAGTGTATGACCGTGTGTGTGCCCAGCGACGGAGGAACCACCTGTCCCACCAGGAAGGATTTATGGATTTATCTGCTTCTCTGAGTGAGGGCATTGCATTACAGATGAACGAGGAAGAGGCGCAAAAACTCCTGAGTGCTGCCAACACCATCAAAAAAAAAAAAGTTTAAAAACCTCAATAAGTGCCCACTTTCATTTATAGCTACTCATTTAGACAAAACATTCAGGTTCTTACTGAAATGTGTTTCCTATAGACAGGATTATGAAAAATGAAGGGATGCATAAATATATTAAATAATATTATCTTTAATTTAGCCACCATAAGCTTTATACTATTTTAGAATTTGGTCTTAAAATTAGGCTGATTTCCACCTTATACTAATGGACAAAACAGACCTTATGCTGAGTCAGCGGTATTTGTATTAGACCTAACACAAATTCTACTATGACCATAACAACGTTTAATGAAATTAGTCCAAATCTTGCCGCAGCACTTAAGAAAGCTTTGCTAGTAGGGGGCAGCTGACTGATGTAACTTCCTGCCGTTGGTACAGGGCCTGGCCTGCCCCAGCTCCCAGGAAAGCAGAGCTGCAGCCCTGCTTATCTGTGCTCTTTCCTATCCAGCCGTGCCACACCAGGCGCTCCCTGCCACTTCACAGAAAATGGCCCCCACCACACTATCACTGAAAACAAGTGCTCACACCTCAAAGGGGCGTCTCAGGGCAGGTCCGCGACTTCAGCGTCTCAAATGTCCCTTACAGCAGGCTCTCTTATGATGTCATTAAAGCTTCTTGCAGATGTCTCCTGGTACAACATACGTTTTGATCCATGGCGTAGCTTCCGGTCGAAAAATGCCTAGTTGCTTTAAGGACTCTAGAAACAAATACATATTTGTTCACATCCCAGATACTTTTAAGCCAGGGAAATTGAAATGGCATTTCCACACAGGAAATCCAAAATTAGCTAGCCTATAGAAATATTAAGCGGGAATTATTAAATGGGACCGTTAAAACAGCTTACAGGATGGAGGCTGACATGGTGTCAAGTTTAGCGCTGGTTTAGCTTATGTGAGGAAGGAAGAGACTCATTAAAAGCGATGAAACAGGAGTTCTGTCATTAACATTACAGGTGATGCGCGTCGTGGAAAGCAATGCATTTGAAACGTACTGCCGTGAAGAGCACTGACTACCCTGATAATGGGTGGGAAAGGAAACCATTGCAGGTTTTCCATTATAATTACCAGTTGTGATCCTTTAATTGCAGCACAGGATCAATGGAACGGGAACTTTGTCACCTTCAGGAGGATTGTGACATTAGTCCAGGGGAGAGTTGTAGTACAGCCCTCGGGGGCTGGTAGCTGACCTCTGTTTTCCTACTGAGAGTCATGCTGGTTTAAGCTATATGGATAAGAGCTGGGATTCTAAGGGTAACACAGGCAACCAGCCAGAAAGGGATCTGACCAACGACCGTGGTTTTGTAAATCCTCTGGACTTTTTGTGCGAAAAGTAAATATGTTGAGAGATCTTAAAATAGGGTACATACACTTTGTTGACCAAAATGTAATTTTGTTTGGCTAAGAAATAAAGGCTATTCTATTATCAGTCAGAAACATTCCAATGTTCATTTACAAAGTGACTGAGAATGCATTGACCCTAACAAGTAGGTCAACTGGTAGCGTGAAATGCAATGAAATGGAAAAACAGGATACTGGTAAATAGGTCGACCTACAGCCCTCCAGAGTTAGTATTTCTAATTGTTCAGGGAAAGGCTGGCCTAGAACTGACCTCAATACACAATCTACACCCATAGGGTCCCGAATGGGGCATCTCTCATCCACAATAGCAGGCTTTCAACTTCCTCTCACTAGGCCCTTGCAGTCAATGTGCCACAGGTCTTACCATCTCTGGCTATAGGAGGAGACAAAGGTTGCAGTCACACACCCGTCCAGCTGAGGACCTGATAACTGGCTGCCTGGGCCAATCAACAAACCCTGCGTTTGTAAAAGCCGAATCGCGTTTCCTAATGCAGTTTCCTTGTTCGGCACGACATAACTTTTGTACAGAGTGACCTGAATCTGTGGTTGTTTAATGTTATTTATTTTGCCCAGATGGACAGGAACTTAATCAAGTAACCTGGGTCTGTATCAAGAAGCTGGATTTTTGAGTTGGCAAGATGACTTGTGGGACTTAAGGTCCCCAAGTTTAAAGGGATTAGGGCTTTGACCGCTTACATTTAGCCCAGACTACATTAAATCTGATGATATCTTGCTAACCCAAAAATCCAGCTTTGTGATCCTGCCCACCTGCATATTTTAAGTCAGCCAAAATGCTGTCTCCTAGCCTGAGACTTCTTATGTTGAAGTTTAATGAAAAGTTTCAGAAAACAGCAGAAAGTTTTACTTCAACAATTCCACCTTTTGACCTCTAGCTAAATCCAATACAAACTAATGCATAAAGTTATCCAATGTAGTAATTTTTGGCTTATACGAATATTACAGTAGGATATACAGCATAGACACAACTAAATATATTCAAGCATCCATTTCTACCAAACATTGCCTTAAACAAACTGGCATTTGACATAGACATTTCAAGGCATGTAAGCAGGTGACAGAACTACACATCAGCTTGCAAGTCTAGTCAATGAAAGGCAGAATAATATAAACCACATAGCTTTCAGAAATATATGGATACATTTAGGTGTAAAGTTCTTTTTATTAATTAAATTTCAGAGCTAAATAGTAAACATTTTTCTTCCGATGATCAGATGGCCACAGTGCAAATGACTGCAATGTAAAAGAGAGCGAGTTTCATTCGAAGCAGCTACACGCTGATTCTTTATTTACAAGAAAATGACAGAATACAGAAAAACATGACAGCTGCAAGAAGACAACACCATGGTGTGACTCCACAATTAAACTGAAGAACAAGGACGTCTCTCCTTACACGCTGTGTAAGTAACCGATAGTATGAAGATTGCCGGTTGCAATCTACTGACCACCACGTGTCAATTTATTTTCATTCCAGAAAAGAAACAAGTCGTAGAATGAAACTATGTTGTGTAATACTTCAGCCTGTCCCAAAGTTCTGCTTGTGACCCAAAATGAGAAGAGCATCACATTTACAGAAGCAATGGCGCCTCGTGCCCCATTGTACAAAAGAAAAAGAAAACATAAAAGCACAAAACCTGGAAATGTAACATTTCTTTCACAGGATACCCAGGACGCCACCTACTTATAGATTGAAAGGATGTCAACTAACACTAATCATGCCACTGTCAGTTTTATATAAAACCTAAGTTCTTCTTCAGGAGAAAGTGGTTGCATTGTGACATTTCTTTCAAATTAATTCACATTCATGTTTCTTTTATTTTAAAAGAAACACCCCCTGACTCATGAGAAACTGACCATTCTTGCCCCTCCTCTCGAGCTTCTGCCATAACAGACTTAATGTCAGTCCAAATGGACCTAAAAAGATTCCACTCAGGACAAGAGCCTAAGTTCAGGTGACATTCAGCGTTCTCTGGTCAAGCCGAGCTGACCGCACAGTAACTCCCGGACCGCCCAGCAGGGGGCAGGCCGCGTGTTGCGAGTGAGGAGCTCTGCTCGTTGTCGCCCGACTGCAGGATCACCTCTTCCTTGTCTGTTGCCGAAGCGACTTCCGCCGCTTGAGGATCATTTCGTACAAGCGGTCCAAGCCCTCTTTCAGGCCCTCGCCAATGATGGCACACGTGGGCTGCAGGCACCAGGGGGTAGCCCCCAGCTCACCCAGAGCCAGCATCTTCTCGATCTCTGACAGTGCAAGCGAGTTCCTCAGATCCTGCTTGTTGGCCACCACCAGCACTGGTATACCCTGGTTCTCTGAAAGGCGGGTGATCTTGTGCAGCTCCGTCCTGGCCTCCTCCATGCGCTCTGCGTCCACCGAGTCCACCACAAAGACGATGCCATCTGTGCCCCGCGTGTACGACTTCCACAAGGGACGGAGCTTCTCCTGCCCACCTACGTCCCAGAAGTGGAATGTCACCGATCTGGACCTTCCCAGTGTCACTTTCACCTTTTCCGCGTTAAATCCCTTTGTGGGCACAGTGTTCAAAAATTCGTTGAACTGCAGCCTGTACAACACTGTGGTTTTCCCAGCACAGTCGAGCCCCAGAATGGCGATGTGAAGAGAATGAAACTGAAGATTCGAAAAAATGCTGTGTTCTGAAAGCCCATTGCCCATGGTTCCGGGAAAAGCGTCAGGGACTCAATGCAGAAAGCAAACTTACTGAAGCTCCAGTCCTTCAGATAAATTTAACAATTCCCATGCCTTGAAACATTTACCTAATGGAAAAAAAAAAAAAGAGATGGAGATAACTTTTTTATTGCTTTATACGAGTATTCTTATATGCTTGTATTTCTGTAAAGCACATTGAATGACCTCTGTGTATAATTACGCGCTATATAAATAAACTTGTCGTGCCTAAACAATTGTGCCAAGAGTTGAAAAATCCAGTTAGAAAAAAAAACATTTTAAGTTAAATACGTCTACGTCGGGCCAACAGCCAATGAATGACTACTAAAATTCCTTGAAGCTCTTTCTATTCAAAAACCCTGTCATTTGCCTCGCAAACACAAACTTTCTTTTCTGACGCATGTTACCTGTCCTTCGCTGCCATTTTACCGCGGCCATGGTAATGACACAGTGAGGAGCCCAATTAAAGCTTAACACCGAACTAGTAAACTTACTGTCCACATCGAACTGTCAGTAAACTTACACGGATTATAAAACAAACCAGCTCCAAACGTGTCGGCAGCGATCTATTCCATTTTATCAAACATGATAGTAAGGTAGTTATCATTATATTAAATGACGAACTTACACGTCAGATAGGTGCGATCTCTACACGGGATCCGGACGCGCTCACCGAACGCGCGTGAATGTCACGCGACGGGCAGCGCGCACACATGGGCGCAAAGCGCGAGCTGCTGCGGCGCCCCGACGCTGATCTGTCCAGGCCGCTTCACACGCTCCCCGATCGCAGCGAGAACGGCGTCGCGGATCCGAGTCCGACCAAGCAGCGACAACTTGGCTCCTGCTTTGTACTGGAAGGTGCTGTAGGCCGGTGGGGTGCGGTCCCAGAAGAGCCACCGTCAGCCTGTCCGCCCCCTTCGGCTGACAAGGGGACGGTCCTCCGTGCAACGACACACCCACAACCTGTTGCTGAAATGCAGCTACAACCGCAAAACTTTACGGAATCAAATGATGTCAAATTATACACACTATACTAAACTGTGCAAATACCGCATACAATTCTTCTTCTTGTAGGAGTTATTGGCGGTACCGTACAGTATTGTTTTCGGTGAACATTTCACTATACAAAGATCAAATACCACCAGATCTATGGCTAGATCGGCAGCATTGAATGAGAGGTTTAAATGTTGCGGTACTTACTAGCCCAGCCCCCAATCAGAAGTACGAATTCGTAGTGAAATATATAACTTACCAATGTAACTTACTGACATAAATGAATCAAATTTATGGCTGAAAGAAGCAAAGATGACAGACGGCATTGAGCAGCGCCCCCATAAGGGTAGACCATTTATTGCAACCTTGACGTGCTCTGTTTACTTTCAAATTAATTGGTCTGGTAAAGAAAGCTCATAACGTCTGTCTTCGTCCTCTTGATTGTGGGATATTATTTAGAAATTATATATTATATTCAGTTTCAGTATAGTATAATGTAATGTATGACTAGATATATTACACTTCATTTCAGGTTTATTTAACACTGAATTGTCATTTACACGGGGCTGCCAACTTTAGTCAGCTGGCTGGCATGAGATTTTCAATTCGAGACAAGTATGTAAGAGTTTAACCCTGTTAGCAGGAAACTGGCAAAATAATTGGTTAAGTAATTAAACCATAAAAAGTCTATTATAACTATTGAAATACAATATTTACCGGGTTAGTAAATACAACTGAGCGAAAAGAAATTGATTATAGGAGTCCACAAATTAAATGTTGAACTAAAATGTAAAAATAGTTTCAATATTTTTTTAATAAGTAATAAGAAACGGAACATTTTTCTCATTTATATACAGTATGATTTGGAAGAAGTTTTGTTTATTCTCAAGAACGTAACTTTGCCTTTTCTAATCCTGCCACCTCGTGGTAAACAACGTGTATAGCAAGACCTTGAAGAAATCTAGTATAAAAAAAGTCACAGCACTGTGTAACACAAAAACAGCAAAACAAAAACAACAAAATTAAAACAAAATCATGTAGTATGGGAACCAAAAACACAACAATGCCATATCACTGCACTTTATGGAATATATTGTTTAATATATAAGCTTGGTTAACTGTTTTGCATCTGGTGGCTAACATGATGATCACATACATAGTTTGGGGTCTAAAATTATTGCTGTGGGAAACTACATAATCTTTTTTGACCAACAAAACTAAAGTAACTGAAAACTGTGCCAAATTATGGGAAATGTAGAAAACTATTTGCATATACATACTAAAGTATTTGGAAATTTGTGTGAAGCAATGAGACATTCTGTCATGGGGATTATACTCATTGTCATGCAAATGTTAATTGTCATTTGAGAAATGCTGCAGAGCAATTGAGAAAAACTATAATATGTAACACTTTATATATTGCATATCAGGCAGCAGTGGGTAACACTGCTTGTGTCCCGTCTCCACTCTGTGTGTGGAAATTGTTTCCTCTTGCAATCTAACGACAAGCAGTTATTTTGTCAGACTTTAGTCCCTAAATTGCATGTTGTATATGTATGTGCATGGATGTGCGCTGTAATGTACTATCATATTGTCCAGAGTGTATCCCGCCCTGTGCTGCGTGGGATAGATTCCAGGTCCCTCCATGACCTGTCAAGATTAAATGGATGGTAAATATATCTTTGTCATCTTCAGCTGTGTGATCTATATATAAATATATATATATATATATATATATATATATATATATATATATATATACATACACACACACATACATACATACAGTCATGTGAAAAAAAACTTAGCAGAAATGAACTATTATGCCAGTTTCCACTTAGGAAAAAGGTAGGACTCCCTCACATCCATTACTATTTAAAATTCCTAAAATTAGATTCTGTTGTACCACATCAGGTGAAAATGATTAGAACATCGTTACAGAGCTTTTTGGTGGAGTCTGTCTTACTTTAACCACAGACATTTAGTTTGGTTTGCTCTTGATCATTGAAATGAGTGGGATCACCATGGTGAGACCCAAAGAGCTCTCTGAGGCCTTCAGAAAGAAGCTTGTAGATGCATATGAGTCTGGGAAGGATGTAAAAAGATCCCAAGAGAGTTTGGAATCAGCCATTCCACTGTCTGGAAAATAATTTACAAGTGGAGAACATTTAAAACAATTGCCAACATGGCCTGGTCAGGCCGTCCTAGTAAGTTCAGCCCAAGAGCAGAACGCAAGATGCTGAAAGAAGTCTCCAAAAATCTTAAAGTATCATCATGAGTCAAAAAATCTCAGTAACAATGTTCTAATCATTTTCACCTGATCTGCTGCACCTGAATCTAATTCTAGGAATTTTTACTTTTTCCTCAGTGGAAATTAGCATCTTGGTTAATTTCATTTCGAAAATAAGTGAATACACACGTAAATCACACCCGTGGGAGAGTTGCTCACAAAAGTAATCCATCACAGGTCCAGTCCAGTTCAGGTCCAGAAAATACAAATCCAGACCAAGATTCACAGTCACAGAGTGCTCAACTGGTTGGTTGAAACAAAACCTTGGTCTGGATTTGTACTTTCTGGACTTGAACTGTCTGTAATGGATTACTTTTGTGAGTACCTATCTCAACACACGCACACACACACACACACACACACACACACACACACACATATATATATATAGTTCAGTATTCAAGCCTTGTATTTTGCAGAAATGTAATAGATTTTTTGTGCCTGACATATAACTATATGAAATGATATTCACTTCCTAGGATTGGATGATTTTGGCACACTAAACCAGAATGGTCACCCTGAATAACAAGCTCGCTATCTACCAACCTACTATCCTGAGAGAAAGAAAGAAAATGTACATTGCATCTTAACATTTTCTATCTGGAATGTCACCTGATGTATGTTCATAAATTGCTTTGCAAATTAATGAATTAACATGGCGTCAGCAATTTTTCCACAAAATGGGGAGCTTCTCCTCCACCCTGTCCATGAAAGCACTGTACAGTCCTCTTCTTCTCCTGTGTCGCTGCAAATAAAGCGCAAGAGATGTCAATACAGCAAAGTGAAGAAGCATTCCTACCTGAGCGACCCATAACTACCGCAGTAACTGATGGCATTTATAGTGGGGGGGAAATAATACTAATGCAGGAATCAGCTGCTACCAGATTGTTTAAACTATACTCTCAGATAAAAGGGTAAATATAAATACTTGCATCCATCCCTGCTTATGGTGTTTTATCCATGACATTTTTGCATGTCAGATACTGGAACCACCACATCTAGCATCAACAGGCTTAACACGTTCAAAACCACTTATACTGTATCACCCTTATTGCCCATTCTAAATTTTTTTCAAACAGTAACTGAACACCTTGCGGTCTCTGTGCTTTATTTGTATTTGAATTGCAGGCAGATGATCCTGTCTGTAGGTATAGGATGTTGGTGTAAACAAGCAGGTGTACCTAATAAAGTGGCCATTGAGTGTACAACTAGAAATTGTAGGTAGAAGTGCTCGTGAAACAGAACAGTACATTTACTATGGTTTCAAAGTGAGCAGCCAGAGATCACTGGTAAGTGTGCTCACCGTGTATGAGGCTGATTTATTTGGCCAGGGATTCTTCGGCAGGATCAGCTCGGCATCCCATTTGGGTTCTGCTGTCAAAAAGGTGTCAAATCTCTGCAGCCTTTCATGCTGGTGAGTATCTTCTAAAGATCTAGTCTGTCCAACTGAAGTGAAATGTGCTATTTTCAAAGCACTCTGAAGTCTCCCTGTAGAAGCAAATGAGACTTTGTATCACTGTCCTCCCCATAAAGGTGACATATGATTATCTGAACAAATGCTGGAATGATACTGGGTTTTACTAAGTAAATCATTTAAAGCAGCTGCTTGACACAGGAAATGTATAGATCATTGTTTCCCAACCTGGTCCTCGAGGACCACAGGGAGCAAAAATATGGGCAGTCTGGCGGGGAGCGGGAGGGAGCAAAAATATGGGCAGTCTGGCAGGGAGCGGGAGGGAGCAAAAATATGGGCAGTCTGGCGGGGACGGGAGGGAGCAAAAATATGGGAGGGAGCCTAAATGTGTGCTGTCTGGGGGGCCCCAAGGAAGATGAACAATTTCCAAAAAATTATTTTATGATGGCAAAGAAATTTAGTTTATTTTACTTACTAGTGCTCAAGTGTTGTGATTTAAAGTTCAGATTATTGGGGTCCTTCTCAGTTGTGGTCACTATGTCTGGCATGTCATCAGAATACTAAAAATAGTGAAGACAGCTTAAATATCATGACATAATAACATAATATGACATAATATTACTACAATAAATTCACACAGTGATAGAAATTCATTAACATCACATGATTATTGCATTTCCACAACTTACTTGTCTGAAATCATGGGGTCTGGGGTCCCTGTAGGGAAGATCTGGATATTTGCCAAACTTGACAAACATGAGTTTGGATTCCAGTGAGTCGGGGGGGTGGTACCGCAACACAAAAGGCTCAGGCACCTTCTTTGCACGAGTGTCATGTAAAATTGATGAGGTCATCTTTGTGATATTCTTAAAGGTATGACTAGATGACATGATTAAAGGTGGGCGCCTTTTTTCCTGATTTTTCTGTGGCAAACCCAGGGATTTATACAACTTTGGAGAGAAATCGGGAGGGTTTAGGTTCCACAGACTGACATTCTTTACAGTTCGGGGAAGAACAGCAAACTCCTTACTCTGTCTCAGGGCCAAGTCATGACTGGCATAAAAAACTACTTTTTCATTAAAGGAAATTTCTTTTAAGGGGTCTAGGTTTTGATGATCGTTCATGCTGAGCTCCAGTACCCGGTTTTACGTCACAGCGTACCTGTTTTTAAGCAAAGAGTCCCATATGAGATTAATCAAAAACACTTAACAAAATGACTGCAACCTAAAGTAATTGTTCACAATTTGATTGATTCCAATTTAAATAATAATCATAATCATTAAATTCATACATTGAAATATATAAATACTATCAAATTGACTTGGTAGTCTTAACATTAAGTGAGTATGTTCCACAAAGTTATTATGCAAATATAGTAGGAAGATAAGTACTTTAAACTCACCTTTAGATAACCACTGTTAACCACTGGTCAGCTAGTTTGCCATTGAAATGTATGTGGAGTTCAGAGAGAAATGCAGGCTCTCATCAGGAAACACAGTGCAATAAACAGAGGTTACCTAGTGA